ATAACGTATTTTAACAGATATGCATATTGAATAGGAAAAAAAGCTTGATTGTTTTGTTCATGAAAGGATGAATTAATACTATCTCAGTACTGGAGTTTAACCATCAATAGCGTACAGGTAGTTCTTGACTTAGAACAGTTTGCTTAGTGACCGTTTGAAGTTACAACAGCACTGAAAAAAGTGACTTATCATTTTTCACATCTACGACCATTGCAGCATCCCCATGGTCACGTGATCAAAATTCACACACTTGGCAACTGACTCACATTTAAGACAGTTGCAGTGTCCCAGAATCATGTGATCCCCTTTTGCGACATTCTGACAAGCAAAGTCAGTGGGGAAGCCAGACTCACTTAACATCCATGTTACTAAGTTAACAACTACAGTGATTCATTTAACAACTATGGCAAGAAAGGTCATAAAATAGGGCAAAATTCACTTAACAAGTGTCTTGCTTAGTAACAGAAATTTTGGGCTTATTTGTGGTTGTAATTCGAGGACTACTTGTATTAGTCCAAAAAAGAGGAAAGACTTTCTTAGGGAAATATACTAATTATGTAGGTAAAATTATCCCTTATTAAAATTATATGTAAACATGAGCATCATTTAGTTGTATCTAAATATTTATTGAATAATGCCATATATATTTACTGAAGTATATATGATCAATTTTAAAGGATGACAGATTATTCTGTTTCTCTATTAAATAAATACAGACATCAGAATGCATTTGTCTGCAATACAAATTTTTGGCCAGCATGTTGGCTTCTACTCAATCTGTCACAAAAGTTTCTGATACGTTAGTTTATTATTTACCGGTAGTTTAAAATAATAGCTGGAAAATGTTCTGTCATATATACTGACTTGATTAACAAGTCAGAAACTAATATTTCGTACAATACATTACTGCAGCTTCTTGCAGGAAAAGGTAACAACTGCAAACACAACACCTGAAATGTAATTTTTAAAATCAGTTGGTAGAACTCTACTTATTTTAAAAAACCTTTTCGTACATGAATGAATTCTAGGTACTCTTACCTGCCAACTTATAAGGAGGGGTGCCATCACTTGAAAGCTCATATAAACTTTCCTAAATTTAGTGATTGAAAGTAATAATTACACATGGGCTTAAATTAAGCAAGATGGGAGGCTGACCCACAAGTTGTTGTTAAAAGAAAATTAAAAGATACATAATCCAAGAAGCTTTGTTAAGTATGCAAGGGACTAAGAAATGGGTCTATGACAATTCGCCACAGCCAAATAGCCACAGCCAATTTGCCACCACCACCTTGTTGCGGTCAACTCACTGTAGGACAACTCATCATGGCCAACTCACCGCAGGACAAGAGTTACACTAATATCAAAGAAATGGTGGAATGGAATCATTAAAGAAGGGATGCAAAAATAGGGGCAAAATGAAATGTGAATGACAAAATTTAAAATAATTTGTAATTTATTTTGAATAATTAAATTGAATTGTTAAATTGCCCCACAGCAAGTTGTCCCACAGAGAGTTGGCCATTGCAAGTTGTCCTGCGACGGGTTGGCCGTTGTGAGTTGTCTGCGGCAAGTTGGCCATGGCAAGTGGGCCACGGCGAGTTGGCTGTGGTGAGTTGTCCCTTTCTGCTAAGAAACAGTGACAAAAGATCTGCCCAAATGTGCCTTCTTTCAAAAAGATCAGCAATTATGAAAATAGAAGATACTTATTCATACATAATTGGAATGCATCAAAACGTTGCCACTTAGTTTATAAATTAGACTTCCCAAATTGTTAAAAATGTATGGTCTTATATAGTCATAATAAAATCATCTTGTGATTAGATGTTATTATTTTATGTGAATTATGCCTGTATGATCATCAAAAAGCATTTGATTCTGAAAATATAATCTGAGCCTCACATGTATGATTAACATACCAATGTAAACATTATTGGGAAAATATACATTCATGCTAATTAGAGGCTGCAGGAGAAATCCCTGATTTATATTGGGCATGCAGAAGGGGGCCTTCTTATGCATTGCTTCCATCTACAGAGTATATTTCCTTGAGGGTTGTCTTTTATTTCCCATTCCCACTACTATTAGAAAATCTGTGAATTCAAATCCATAGATCAGTGATTTTATTACTTGTGTTTTACCCTATTTACACTTAGTGTTTTTGTTTTATACACGTTAAATTAAAAATCACCCAAGTGCTCCATTTGAATAGAATGGAAATAAAACTAGTCCTCATTTAGTGACAGTTCACAGGTACAAGTGTGATGTAAAAATAACTTTGTGATCGTTGCACGTCTGTAAAGCAAAGAAAACTAAGTAAGATCACAAGCACAGTCGCTATTTGGCTTAACGACTTAACTTGCTAGTTACAATTGTAGCTAAGCAAGGATTATCTGTAAGTATATTTTTACCCCCCAAGTTAAAGAAGTGTTAGTCTAAATCTGGATATAAAAGAATGGTTTGAACTAATTGGAGTTAGCTGGTTTATGTTAAATTACTTTGGCAAATAACAAGTGAACTATTGTATGAATGATAATGCATCTATAATTATTACCAATTTCTTCAAAAAAGAATAGGTAAATAGCAACAGGAATATTTAGAGGAAGCTACTTCAGTTTTAGTCCACTTGTGATTCTGCACTTTCATTACCTGCCATTCAGTTTGCTCATTTATGACACTTGATAGCAAAATGTGTCACCTGAAACAAGAGATACAAATTGATTTACATTGTTGACAAATTAAATTTGTGCACTATTGCTTCTTTTAACAATATCTCCTCATGCAAATTCTGTGGAAATGTAGTACTTCTAGTAGAACTCAATAAAAAGGTGTAGATTTTGACTCTTTCCAGGAATAGGATGAAAAGACAAAAGGAAGCTTCATTATAAAAGATAATGTGCATCGTATACAGGTAGTCCTTGTGTTATGACAGCAGTCGGGATTGGGATCGCTATTGCTAAGTGATGCCATAAAGCATAATGTCACATGACACATTGCTTATAGCGGCAATCGAGACGGGGGGGGAGTGTAACTTGAGACATGTGGGTCATTAAAGCAGGAAATGGGGGGAGTCCCAGGTAAAGAGTGCAGAGGTGCTAACAGGAGGGTGGAGAAGAATCTGGAAATCCTGGTGCAGATTGCATGTGAATAAGGGAGTGGAGATGTTGTAGATGGATGCAAATTCGGGGAGGAAGGCAGGCGCCGTGTGTATAAGCAAAGGGGAAAAGGAGGATGCAGCGCGCGTGTATATGCAAGAAAAGAGGGAAGGAGGGGATGGCATATGAGAGTGTAGAAAGGCATGGGGGAGATGTATCTAACTGACTTACAACTTTTCCTGCTATATCCCATTGCCTTTGCTTGTTGAAAGTTAGCAAGGAAGGTCACAAATGGCAATCACATGACTATGAGACATTGTAGCTGTAAGTGTGAGCTGGTTGCCAAGTGCCTGAATTTTTTTCATGTGATTGTAGGAGGGTGCTGTAACAGTTGAAACATTGAGGACCAGTTTATTAGTCCCATGATCCAGTGCCAACATAACTTTGAACAGTTAAGTGAGGGTTACCTCTACATACATTTGGCACCATTGCAGGGTGACGGATGGGTGGGCAGATGGAATAAATGAATGAATACTAACTGGTTCAGTTCAGTCTTTATACCCTTTCTTTTTCCCTCCCTCCCTCCCTAGAGAGGACAGTTTCCAAGTAATTTATACACTTGGAAGTTTTCAGGCACATATGCCATTAATTTTGGGAGGTAAGCATTTTGGAGTCACAGATAGCCTATCCATGACCTATAAACATGTTATTTGTAATTGCTAGGAACTATGTTTCCATTAATCATACATGGTTGTGTGAAAATACATATTTTATAGAGATTGTTGAAAAATAAGTATGAATATGTGATTTGATTATGGTTATATTCGGGATATTGGGTACAATCTTGGGCACCATACTCCAGAAAGGATATTGCACAGCTAGAAAGGTACAGAAAGCGGTAAGTCAAATGATCACCTCCAATAGAAAGAATGATTTCAGTCTTTAATAAATCTGTCTATTCATTGGTGTGAAGCATGAACCAGTACAAAATGTGAAATACGTTAATTTGTTTAAAAGATAAAGTAGGAAGTTATAAGAAATACATTAAATCATTATGTAAAAGAAATGAATAGGGTAATTTTATATTAATGGAAGAATCTACCCAGAATATTAAAAACATTCCAGAGTGATGACATAGGGGTATTTGTCATCCTCAGAAATATTTTTTTTCTTGCTCCATAAAGATTAGACTAAAAATAGCAATTCCATCATTTCAGACATAGTTACACTGTTTAAATTCAAAGTAAAAGAACCAACCACAACAAAGACCTTATGCTGCTACCATTTTTGGCTTTTCATGGAGAAATTTCTTCACCATGGGTGTCACACCACATTAGGATGTGAAGCATAACTTTTAAATATTTAGGAGTTCTATTTTTCAAGATGGCATAAGTTAAAGTTTCTGAGTTAGCAGCTGTCTTTGGTATTCCTTTTGCAAACCTTTTGAAGAGTCATTTTGATTTGCATGGCACCCCACTGGAATGTCACCCAGGCATTTTTGAAAATCCAGTTATTGTTTCTGTATTGTAATAAATATCCAGAGAAAGTAATGAATGGGGTAGATAAGAAAAATCCAGATATAAGCTGAATTCTTCATAGGCTTTTACTGCAGAAAAGAGAAGGTTATTAATATGCTTACATGCTAACTATCAACTAAGAAAAGCATAGCCCAAACACTGAATTCCTCAAATAGTTTATCACGAAGCAAGATAACATCCAGTAGGCAACTTCAGTGTCATGTAAACTGAATTAAACTGAAAAAGGAGGAGGAAGGCATAATGTAAAGTTCTTTATGTTGCAGGAACAGAAATTCTACGTGGCTTGATATTTCAATATTATATGTATGTTTTTATTATTATTTATATATAAAACCAATGCAATGAGCCATTGTGCCACTTCTGTTTTCAGAGCACCAGAAATCATATTGGGTTTGCCATTCTGTGAAGCCATAGACATGTGGTCCTTGGGCTGTGTGATTGCTGAGCTTTTCCTTGGATGGCCACTATATCCAGGAGCCCTTGAATATGATCAGGTAAAAGAGACTGCACTGGTGCTATAAGAATACTTTTTTTAATTGTTTAAAACTGTAATTTGGTCAGTAGGGAATTTAAATTTCATTACTGTGATAAGAAGTGTATGAAGTATAAACATATTATGGTAACTGAGTTAAATGCACATCCAGTCAATAGTAAGGCTGTTCCTGTGAATTTCAAGTACAGGTAGTTCTTGGGTTATGACCATTCATTCAGCAACCATTCAGAATTACAAGTGTTGAATGAAGAGAACTTAAGATATTTCCTTGGAGTTGTAGCATCTCTGCAGTTACATAATCATGATTTCCAATGTTACCTGCCAGTTTCACTCAAGCAAAGTCTGTGGGGAAATTGGCTGGAATTAAGGTCCTTGCTTAATAAATGCTGCCCTCATTTAACAGAGGCAACCAGGACTAGAATATAGTTAGACTGAATTCAATAAAAGGGTTTTCACTTATACAGTTTTCTGGATGAACTGTATAAATGTACAGGTGAATAATGTAATTTGAAAAGCAAAACTATAACAAATAGTTAACTGTATAACTGTACATATAAATTCATGAGGAAAAAACATACTGCTAGTTTATATCATATGTACATCTCCATATCATTCTAGGCTTGCAAGGATAGAAGGATCTGTAGCTCTGTATTTTTAGCATGTCAGTAGTATTATTATTATTTAGTCAATTTATATAGCCACCCACCTCACAAAAAATGACTCTGGGGAACTTACAAGAATAGCAGTTAAAATCATATCACAATATAAAAACATCAAATATTTATTTATTTAAACCATTTATACAGCCACCCATCTTATAACCAACTCTGGGTGGCTCCCAATCACAACTTCAAACAACAAACAAAACCATATTAAAACTAAACACATTAAAAAAAAAAACCTGGCACCAAGTCAAACTCCTGATGTGCAAGTATCTAATCTTATCCCAGTGCTTGGAGAAAAAGTCAGGTCTTCAAAGCTTTACAGATTACTTAGGAGGGTAGAGGCAGAATATTCCATAGGGATCAGCATTTTGATTTGCACCTGGAAAGAAACCAGAAGGTGGTGCAGGTCACGCAACATAGGTGTAATATGGACAAATCTGCCCCCCCCCCCATTATTGTGCACATTGCTTCATTCTGGATCAGTTGAAGTGGCAATTCTACGTGGCAGCTCCTTATAGAGTGCATTTCGGTAATCCAAACAAGAGGTGATCAAAGCATGACTAACCATGAGCAAGGCTTCCAGGTCCAGAAAAGGACACTATTGGTGCACTAAGTGAATATGTCCAATGCCCTCTTAATCAGGACTGCCAACTGCTCTTTGAGCAGGAGCTGTGACTCCAGCAGGACCCCCATCCAGAGTCACAGATGAAGTATCATAATCACTCCATCTTGCCAGGTTGAGCCAAAGCCAGTTCTTCTCCATCCAGACCCTTACAGCCTGCAGGCATTTGGCTAGCACTGCAGAGCCTCATTTGGCTAGCTGGCAATGGAGATATCATCAACATACTGATATCAAACCCCATATCAATGGATGAGATCCCTTAGAGCAGGCATGTCAAATTCGTGACATCACACAACGTATCCCGACTTTTTCCCCATTGCTGGCAATGGGGTGGGCATGGTTTCGGTGTGACGCATGTGGCCTGTGGGCTGGCAGTTTGACATGCCTGCCGTAGAGGTTTTATGTAGATGTTAAAAAGAAGGGGTGAAAAGTATTGCAGGGGCCTATGGCTTGACATCTCCTCTCCTAACAGCACTGACTAGAACCACCTATGGAAGAAGGAGAACCACTGTAACACAGTGCCTTCCATTGCCAACCGCTGAAGCCAGTCCACAAGGCTACTATGATCAATGGTATCAAAAGCCTCTGAGAGGTCTAGAAGGACCAGAATGGTCACACAATCTCCATCCTGAGTCCTCCAAAGGTCATTGGATGTGACCAATGTCATTTCAGTGCTGTGCCCTGGTCTGAACCCATCCAGGGCCCTTTGTAGTGTATGCCAGTCACCCTCTCACCAACCTTCCCTAAAAAGGAAAGAGTGGAGACTGGATGAAAGTTGTCAAAAATTGTGGGGTTCATAGATGGCCTCTTGAGAAGAGGGTGCACCACCACCTCCTTCAGGGCAGGTGATACCACTCCCTTCTGGTAAGGAGGCATTAATCACTGCCTGGACTCAACAACATGNAGTCTGTGGGGAAATTGGCAGGAATTAAGGTCCTTGCTTAATAAATGCGGCCCTCATTTAACAGAGGCAACCAGGACTAGAATATAGTTAGACTGAATTCAATAAAAGAGTTTTCAATTATACAGTTTTCTGGATGAACTATATAAATGTACAGGTGAATAATGTAATTTGAAAAGCAAAACTATAACAAATAGTTAACTGTATAACTGTACGTATAAATGCATGAGGAAAAACATACTGCTAGTTTATATCATATGTACATCTCCATTTCATTCTAGGCTTGCAAGGATAGAAGGATCTATAGCTCTGTATTTTTAGCATGTCAGTAGTATTATTCATTATTATTTAGTCAATTTATATAGCCACCCACCTCACAAAAAATGACTCTGGGGAACTTACAAGAATAGCAGTTAAAACCATATCACAATATAAAAACATCAAACATTTATTTATTTAAACCATTTATACAGCCACCCATCTTATAACCAACTCTGGGTGGCTCCCAATCACAACTTCAAACAACAAACAAAACCATATTAAAACTAAACGCATTAAAAAAAAACACCTGGCACCAAGTCAAACTCCTGATGTGCAAGTATCTAATCTTATCCCAGTGCTTGGAGAAAAAGTCAGGTCTTCAAAGCTTTACAGATTACTTAGGAGGGTAGAGGCAGAATATTCCATAGGGATCAGCATTTTGATTTGCATCTGGAAAGAAACCAGAAGGTGGTGCAGGTCACGCAACATAGGTGTAATATGGACAAATCTGCCCCCCCCCCATTGTGCACATTGCTTCATTCTGGATCAGTTGAAGTGGCAATTCTACGTGGCAGCTCCTTATAGAGTGCATTTCGGTAATCCAAACAAGAGGTGATCAAAGCATGACTAACCATGAGCAAGGCTTCCAGGTCCAGAAAAGGACACTATTGGTGCACTAAGTGAATATGTCCAATGCCCTCTTAATCAGGACTGCCAACTGCTCTTTGAGCAGGAGCTGTGACTCCAGCAGGACCCCCATCCAGAGTCACAGATGAAGTATCATAATCACTCCATCTTGCCAGGTTGAGCCAAAGCCAGTTCTTCTCCATCCAGACCCTTACAGCCTGCAGGCATTTGGCTAGCACTGCAGAGCATCATTTGGCTAGCTGGCAATGGAGATATCATCAACATACTGATATCAAACCCCACATCAATGGATGAGATCCCTTAGAGCAGGCATGTCAAATTCGTGACATCACACAACGTATCCCGACTTTTTCCCCATTGCTGGCAATGGGGTGGGCATGGTTTCGGTGTGACGCATGTGGCCTGTGGGCTGGCAGTTTGACATGCCTGCCGTAGAGGTTTTATGTAGATGTTAAAAAGAAGGGGTGAAAAGTATTGCAGGGGCCTATGGCTTGACATCTCCTCTCCTAACAGCACTGACTAGAACCACCTATGGAAGAAGGAGAACCACTGTAACACAGTGCCTTCCATTGCCAACCGCTGAAGCCAGACTAGAACCACCTATGGAAGAAGGAGAACCACTGTAACACAGTGCCTTCCATTGCCAACCGCTGAAGCCAGTCCACAAGGCTACTATGATCAATGGTATCAAAAGCCTCTGAGAGGTCTAGAAGGACCAGAATGGTCACACAATCTCCATCCTGAGTCCTCCAAAGGTCATTGGATGTGACCAATGTCATTTCAGTGCTGTGCCCTGGTCTGAACCCATCCAGGGCTCTTTGTAGTGTATGCCAGTCACCCTCTCACCAACCTTCCCTAAAAAGGAAAGAGTGGAGACTGGATGAAAGTTGTCAAAAATTGTGGGGTTCATAGATGGCCTCTTGAGAAGAGGGTGCACCACCACCTCCTTCAGGGCAGGTGATACCACTCCCTTCTGGTAAGGAGGCATTAATCACTGCCTGGACTCAACAACATGCCACCTCTCAGGTGTGTCATGGATCTAGAACAAAGGTGACTGAGCTCACAATCCCAAGGACCCTATCACCTTCCTCGAGCAACTGACTCCTCCTCCTCCTCCCAGATAACAAGGCTCAGACATGTCACTCTCACTTCTGAAAGTCTGTCAGATTTGAGATACTTCAATATATGCTTGTTCAGAAGGTGTTTAGCTAAAATAATCCTGGATATTGCCTCTGTTTAAATGGAATATTAAGGTCTGTTTAAATGCAACATTCAAATATTCTATTATAGCCTGTTCTTGAGCTATTGTGATATTGTCAAGAGTGAAAATCTATAATTATATTAAGTACAGTGAAGTGCTTGTTTAGGTTCTAAAATTGATAGATGTGTATGTATTGGTGAAAAAAAGTACTGTGATAATTTTCTCTATAGATTCGCTACATTTCACAAACACAAGGATTTCCTGCGGAGCAATTGTTGAACCTTGGAACGAAGACCACACGATTTTTCTGTAGAGAAAAAGATGCGCCATATTCTGGTTGGAGATTAAAGGTAGTGATAGTCCTCATGAGGACAAGTTCCTGTGTTCTATGCTTTTGGCTATGTATTTTGGAGATAATTTACTGAGCCATACAAGAGATACTTTGTTACTATTCTCTCTGAAATGTCTTCCCTTTATGGATAATGATTTGGAAAACACAATTTTGCTTGGATTGTTTGATTTGTTTCCCAACAATGAACATTGGGATTCAAGCAGAAATAATGTTCAGTTGAGTTTATTTACAATAGCAATTGGATGCCATTATTTGGTTCAAAATATCCTGGACACTGCATAACAATATAACTTGTACTTGGAAAGAAAATTATTTTTCAAACAACATAAAGGCTTCGAGGCTTATAAAAGCAGCAAATTATCAAGACAATGTAAATCTTATATGGGTGTATAAAGAGGGATGCCTTTAAATTCTGAAGCAGACTTTGTTCCAAGGACTCTGCTTCACTAACTAAGCTCCAGAATTGACTACAACACTCTACATGTTGCTGCCTTTGAAGACTATCTGAAGCTACATTGGTGCAAAATGTACTGGCTTGTTTATTGACCAGTAAAATACACCTCCAATTTTGTGTTTGCTGTAGTGGTTTCTGGTAAGCTTCTAAATATAAATCAAAGTGCTAATGTTAACTTATGGAGCCCAGATGCTTCCAGTATTGCATACTTCAGTTAGGAGTGACCTGTCTAATTTGCATCTCCCAAAAACCAGGATGTTGAAGGTTTGTCTCACTCGTCTCCATCTCTATTAAATGTCTTTTCCTCTGGCAGTTGGCATCCACCTGGATGGACTTAGAAGAGTAGTTAAAAATTGAGCTTTTTGGAGTATCTGTTCGAATGGGAATGCCAGGTGGATTGTTGATTTTGTACTGTGATGGTATCTTTTTGTTAACAACTGTTAATTTTATATTATGAATTCTGTGCATTTTATTTATTTAAATGGTTGATTGTTTTTATAAATTTTATAAACTTCTGGTGTCTTAGGTAGAGTCATCAATACAAAGTTTTTCATTCTTCTAAATAAAAGTTTCCATTGTGAAAAGCCTTTTCGATGTCATATATGTCCATTTATTATGAAGGAGACTGGGATAGTTTTGATTTACTCATATTATGAAAGAAATAACATTAGGAATTTGCATACTGTAGAGTTAACACCGAAGTGAAATATAGAATGCAGCGTTCAAAAATCCATTATGCTTTCTAATAAATTTAGCATACATCTAGAGCTATAAAAGATCCAGATTAGGGCCAGTTCTCTACTTGTTTGAATATGCTGTAACTAAATTCTACCTATAACTTACTCTGGAATGCATTACAACAGATATGTCCCCTATCTTTCTACTTTTCCAGAGATAGAATTTCCTATTATTCTACCCTAAGCCAGATAAAAAAAAGATGGAGAAACAGCACTTGGTACCTTTGTTGTGAGACAGATTTATTGCAACCCCCTCAAAAAGAAGTATTCAATTTCTAACCTAAAAATACAACCCTCCCCAAATATACAAAATATAAAAGTTAAGTTTTGTCCTGTATCCACCGGAATAATATAACTAATAGACCTTCCATTAGGAAAACTTACAAATAGAGGTAATCCTCAACTTAAAATTATAATTGGGATATATTTCTGGTCCTGATTTTATGACATTTTTTGCAGCAATCATTAAATGAATCACCACAGTCATTAGCTAATTTGAGTTTCTTAAGCAAATGTGTCATAAATGTAAATCCTTTTTTTTTGAATGGCCATTTTTTTTTTGCCAGAAAGTGGCAAAAATGCCAGAAATTGGCAAAAAAAATGGTAAGTTGTGGTTATGTGACCATAGGATGCCGCAACCAGTCATAAAGATGAGTCCATTGCCAGGCACCCAAAATGCAGTTACATGCTAGCTGGGGTGTTGTGGCATGACATTTTACAATGGCCAGAAGTGCTTTACGTGCTATAAAGCACTCAATCTGAGCCTGTCATAATTTCAAACAGTTATTAACTGACTGCTCATAAGTTGAGAATGACCTGCAAAATAATACTTGTTGCAGTGAATATTAATTTATCACATTTTTCAGACCCAGGGATTCTAATTATCCTTGGTTTACAGCCTCTTTGCAAGGGAAGTCATATTCTCATTTTATAGGAATACTACTGAAACTTCGAGTTAATCTGCCTATGTAAATTCAAGCAAAATCCAAACATAGATGTCAAACATGATTACATACGCCAAGTGCAGTTACCTATATACATACATACGACATTCTTAAATACTGCATTTTCCTGATCGCATTTAGATTGGTGTTAAATTTGTTATGATTATAGCAGTGCAAGATCCAGGAAAGTTTCTGAAAATTCCAAGAAACAATATTGACAAGGTAACCAGGAATCATTTTTATGTTTTTCTAAACAAAAGAGTTGTGTGGTATTGTATAATTTAAACACAACACTCTTTGTATTTGGAAATGTCCATATATTTTGAAAAAGTAAAAAGAAAGCATAGTAATCTCTACTGTTCAGTTTTCTGCACGGAACACTAGTATATTAAGAATAATATATGCATCTTTCCCCTACCTTCACATTTTTGAAGACACTGGAAGAACATGAAGGTGAAACAGGTATGAAATCCAAAGAAGCCCGGAAATACATTTTCAACTGTTTGGATGATATAGTGCATGTGAGTACATGTGTATACATTTGAAATATTTTGTATTAAGAGCCTTTTGCCTCCAATTTATTTTGTAGTAAATATTCTCTGTTCACTTTTTAAAGTTCTCCCCTTTGTTTTATCTGGAGTTTTGCTTACAGGGAGCACTTTGAATTGCATGATATCCAGATTTCTGTATTCATCTGCATGTTCTATCACTGCATGTGAAATTAATGGAATTTTACTTTTTTAAGTAATTCAGTTTGCCTCTTGCCTCAATCCCATCCCATATTGTTAATAATGTATAAAAATTCCATGCCTCCAAGAATTTTGAAAATCTAGATATTAAAAAGTACGTCCTTGCCATGTTTAGTGTCCTTTGCTTTGTAGTGTGAATGGTTCTTTGTTATAATACTATTAAACTAATACAGTAACCAGTGGAGTTGGTCTTTGATCTGGCACTTGAAGTACACTTGTTCTGTTTAAACCTGTGATACTTTCAAGCTATTTCCTTATTAGCAGTTCCTATATTTCTTTGACTACTGCTATTTATCACTCTTCTGAATAACACAGTAGGCTATACTACAAACTGTAATATAACATTATTGAACTTGATCCAGGTCACTGTATTGAAGTCTGAAAGCCTCCAGAGCAGTGTTTCTCAATCTTGACAATTTTAAGGCATGTGGACTTCAACTCCCAGAATTCCACAGCCAGCATTGCTGGCTGTGGAATTCTGGGAGTTGAAATCCACATGCCTTAAAATTGTCAAGGTTGAGAAACACTGCTCCAGAGCCATACTCTCTTCCCAGTCTACTTCCCAAGGTGTTGTTCAAGGGAGTAAAAATGGGGAGACCTTGAATTTCTAGACAAAAAGTGAGATATAAGGGCTGTAATGTAATGTAGAATGAAATCTTTCTGGATTTAATTCAGATTTATAGAACTTGCTATTGTTGATGTTATAGTTCTGTTGTATGATGCTGTTTTATTAATAGTTATTTGGAAAACAACATGAAGCAAACTTTTGCATTTAATTATTCAATGCTAGGTGAACATGGTGATGGATCTAGATGGAAGTGATCTTTTGGCAGAGAAAGCAGACAGAAGAGAGTTTGTCAGTCTTTTAAAGAAAATGCTGTTGATTGATGCTAACTTGAGAATCACTCCGGTTGACACACTGAGCCATCCTTTTGTTACCATGAAGCACCTCCTTGATTTTCCTCACAGCAACCAGTATGTCCTATAAAACACTTTTTATAATGATCCTGGTTGAGCCTTTTTCACTGGTGAAACATGATGTGTTATGTATGATCTGTGGTGTTGGGTTCTGGAAAACCTCCCGACCATGGTCTCTTCAGTACATGAGTGTTCATTTTATGATGATACAGTTGAGGCAGCATGTTACAGGCAGTTTTCAGATGGCTAATACGTGCCTGAAGGTTAGAAGTGTTTTTTCACATGTTTCAGCAAAAGGCAGCATCTGACTGGCCTTGTTTGGGCCTGGTTAGTACTAAAGGGGGAAGCCTCCAAGGAATTTTAGAGCTAACTGAGAAGTAAAAAAAAAAGATATCCCGCAAGGTGGCAGTGGTAACCTGTTGGTGTCCATGAAATCACCAGGAATACAAATGAAACTTTACTCACTTGATTGTGTATTTTGTACAACCGCGCATAATCAAAATTGCCTTAATAATGTTCTCATTTATAATGCAGATGTAGTCTGTTGGCATAGTGTCAAATACTAGTATAGGGAGAAGTCATAATTTTCTAATAGTGTAGAGGCGGGAAAGCAAGATGCTCTGCCTTTTAAACATAAAATCTAATTGCTGGGGTATAGTCAGTGAGTACCACAACGAGTACACATTTTAGCTACTTTTAAAACTCAGTTTGACTCTAGGATATGGAGTACTTCAATCTTTCTGACAATTCCTTTTTCCTTCTCTCATCAACAGTGTGAAATCGTGTTTTCATATCATGGATGTTTGCAAGTACCGGTCAAATTCATATGAGATAAGTAATTGCAATAAAACAATACATTTGGGACCAGTTGCTCCAAGCAACACACTAGGTCTGATGCCTAATTTCACCAAGATTGGCGCAGTACAGAACCAGGTAAGTATTTCTAATTTGACAAAAGCTTTCTTTCTCCCTTTATCTCTATCTTGAGATTCTAGAATGGTGCAAGTTTGTAATAGAATCATCAAAGTTGTAGAAAAAGAGAGACTTTCAATAAGAAAGATATGAATCTGCATGTTCAGTGCACGGTTGGATGGTGTGGGTATATATATATATTGGGTATTTTATGCAATTTAACTTGGTTATGCTTTGAATTGAACAGTAAATTAAACGTTAGAAAAATCAGCACTTCATCTGATGTAAGCTCTTACCCACAGACACGTATCCTGATAAATATGTTAGTATCGTCATTCATTTACATGCGAAATATTGGCTATGTTTGAGATACATAGGAAACAGGAAATGCAAGTGCTTCATTTTTCCCATGCTTATTTGTATAACCTTAAATAGAATGTTCACATTTCCTCCTTAGAGATAGCTACGTGACAGTTTTCATAGTAATCATGCAGGTTTCCCCTTGGGTGAAGATCTGGAAGGCTATGTCGTTATAAGAAGTACTGAGAGGCTGCTTGCAGCCATAAGCATTATTGTTTGCCATGCCTGACGTTCCTTGGACTTTTCCATGATTGAAAGTATAAATAGTTGAGAATCCACAAGGGATTACATTTCAGCATTTATCCTTCTTCTGTATTTGGCTTCTTACTTGATCCCTTCTCAAGAAGGAGGAGGGCTGCACTGATGGGTCTTCATTTAACTCTAATCTGAAGTAATAACTAAGTTCAGTAATTTCATTTGTTCTCTAGAACAGGAGTTTTCAAACCTTTTGAGACTGTGGAACTTGCTATAAAAAATTCAAAAAAAAAACCCTCTCCTTCTCCCTCCCCCCAGCAAGAAGTAAAGCTGTAAAGAGAGAATTGGCAATAAAAAGAAACTTGTGCTGTTGTAATGTATTTATGCATATGTAGATGTTAAAATGGTTTGAATTCCACAAAAATGAATGTCCTAATTACTGTCCCGGAAAGTTGTTCCAGTATAAAAACTGAACTGTTTATTCTGTATGCAAAATTATCTTTTCCATTTATCTGGAAGGTTAATGTTTTAACCGAAGAAATGCATGTTTAATGATAGAGGTGTAAGTACCAGTACCAGTACACATTACTGGTAATTGGGAACAGGAACCAGGGCACTGAGCAATACGATCCTAAGGTGACACACCATATGACAGCACCAATCTACAACTCCAATTGTAGGTGAATCCTAGGCAGTTGCAGCATCCCACAGTCACCTGCCAACTTCCCCATTCATTTTGCTTTTTGTAAGCTGGCCGTGAATGTCACAAATGGTGATTGTGGGACACCATGACATCTAATTGCAAATTGAATATGAAGCATCTGAACCACAATGGCCATGGGAGCGCTGAAACAGCTGCAACAGCTTATCGCCTGTTCACCGCCCTGAGTCCCGTAAGGGAGATAGGGCGGTATATAAATTCAATAAATAATAATAAATAATAATAATAATAATAACTACTTGGACCCCTTTTAAGTCTGCCTTGTTTAGCACCATTGTAACTTTGAGCTGTCACTGAACGAGTGGACATTAAGCGAGGACAACCTATAACTTTTTTCCTGAAAAAATTGCTATGGATGATCTTGGCTGCATTTGAATGTGGGTGGGGGAGTAATCTCATAGAAAACCCCCCCCCCCAATTCTTTTTGAACCCTCAGGTTCTGGAACAACACTAGTCTAGAACTTCTCTTGGAAAACATTTTACCAAAACCAAGACAAACGCAATTGAAGCTGTGCACTCTAAAATGTTTTATTTTAGTGCCCTCCTGTGGTCAAATGTTATTTTTGCTTGTTTGTGCTAAGTATCAAATTGAATTTCATGTATGGTGTTTGTTTACCACTACCTAGTAAGAACATTATATAATCCTAAAGTCATCATGGTAAACCAAATGTAAACTTATTTATATGACTTAGGCTTTTCTTTTATTTTGTTTTAAGCAAAATACTGTACATTTTAGCTTAGCCTTAAAAATGTAACAGCCTGTTTGCTGATTTATAATATACTTATTGTTTCAGACATTAGCTGCAACAGCCCACGCGGTTATGCATCCTGGAATACCCTTACAGGCAGGAACGGCTCAGTTTGGTTGCAGTGATGCTTTTCATCAAACATTGATTATATGCCCCCCTGCTATCCAAGGTTTGACCTAATTTTAAATGTTTGTTTTTTTAAAAAAACAATTTAAATAATTTTACCATTGAAATACACTGGCATCTGCTCTCACCTGTAGGAGCATCTTGCTCTTTTTTTGGGGGGTGGGAGAGGAAGAGAGGCTATATTTCTGGTCACTGCAATACAGCGTGGTTTGGGGTGGGAAGATTTAGTTTATTGGAGTAGCAGGTTTTTCTAGGTCTGGAAGTTAAGTGACTTCAGTCCAGTCATTACCTCTCAACCCCACCAACCTCAGTGGGTTGTTGTTGTGAGGAAAAGTGGAAGAGAGAGCAAAATATATATGCTGGTTTGAAATCCTAAATGAAAAGCAGGATAAGAACCCAATACGGAAATTACACCAGCTCTTCCCTTAAAAGCCTGTTAAGTAGAACTGGTAACCCAGAATAAGGGATGGGGAAGGTCTATTGAAGGAGAGGGAATAGGAATAAATGCCCCCTTCCCTTTTATCAGCAGATGCATCTGCTGTCTTCTGCAAATGTAACAAGCCCTGCATTCCTGGAAAGTCACTTATAATCTAAGCATCTCATGGCTGTGATTATAAACTCTGTGAAATCACTTAATTGCTTTATTTTAATGGTTCTAGCTTTGTTTCTGGGGGGGAAAAGGATGCCGTTCTTTCAAAACAGCTTCAGATTCAATATTTTTGTTAATGCTCTTTACATAGTGTGCACTCATATATATGATCAGTGTTATAAGAAGATCTGGTGATATCAAGTTCTTCCTCTAGATTTAAAAATAAGATTTCATTAATTACCAGTAAAAAGCATTGTTATTGGTCATTTAAATACATTTATGTGCACTGGAGGAATCAGAGCTTCAATACTACTTGCCATTTCAGCTAAGCTGATTGAACCCTTTGACAATCTTATTTCATATTTTTTTAAAAAAATAATGAGCTACAAAACTTACTGAAAGAACCCCTTTGGGAAATTGGTGAAATGTGTTCTTTGATCACAGAGAAATGCACAAGATGATGATAATGATGACAATGCATGATGATGCCACAGCCGATTGGAATTTGAAGGGTGTGTCTTGTTTGACACTCAGTGGGTTGCTCATGAATTTAGATTGATTGTGCATCTGTTGGTACTTGTTTGTGCGTGACAGAGGTTGTTGGGCCATATTTTATGAGAATCTTGATCTTTTTTACTTCCCTGTCGAAGTATCACTTATGCATCTTTATCATTGATGCTCAGGACTGTGGTGCTAAAGTGGTACAGACTTGGTGGAAATTTAATTACTGCTACATTAAGTAGTATTGCCGTCTGCTAGAACTTGCGGCTATGTATTTGCTGGCTGCTTAATCCCAGAATTAAAGAGGGTATCACTGATGAGTGAATGGTTTATTTGATACAGCAAACACTGTTCTATAATTTGCAGTCTTATATCACTTTCTGGTGCTAGGTGTTAAGCTCTGCTTCAGTTTAGTATTTCAGGATTGCTTAATTTGCATTTTAGGCATGGTGTATGTTACTGATGTCTCCGTCTGATTAAACCAACACAGAGACATGTAACCTCTTGGTGGCTGCTTATTTTTTTGACAAACTATGCATCCTGGAAACTATGATTTTCCTTGTTCAGTTAAGACAGTTCAGCATCCTCAGAGGAGAGATGGATGACATGCAGCAATGTTCTTGATTGCTAAATTATGATTCGGTAATAAGGTTGGAGCCAAATAAAATGCACTGAGAGAACAGAGCATTCATGACTCCCAATCCAATATGGCTTCTTTATAAGTTAGGAAGCAATTTCTGAGTAAATGTCTAAAACTTTTTCTTCTCTCTGTTTCCTGCTATCGTTCTTTTTCTCAAACTACTCATAGCCAAACTAAGGGGGTGGAAAATCTGCCTCTGATTTCAATATGTCTTAAAAAGTAGATGCAGATAGGCCTTGACTTAACAGCTGTTTGCTTAATGGTGGTTCAAATTTATGATGTCCTTGGAAAAGATTCTTTATGGCAGGGGTGTCAAACTCGCAACATCACATGACGTATCGTGATGTATTTTTGCCATTGCCGGCAATGGGGTGGGTGTGGTTTTGCTATGATGCATCCGGCCTGTGGGGCCGGCAGTTTGACACCCCTGCTTTATGGCCCGTAAAGCACTTTTGACTGTTGCGAAATGTTGCATATATAGGTCCAATGATCATGCAGAATCTGGTTGCTTGGTAACCTGTTCACGCAACCAGTTGCCAAATGCCCTGTGATCATGTGATCACCATTTGCAATCTTCTTTGTCAGTTTCTCCAGAAAGTCAAGATTGCAACCCTGTGCCGCCTGCTGAGAGAACTCCAGGTCATATCTGGGGCCTGATTGAAACAATTACCTGTTGAAGAATTTCAGCTCCGGGCCTTATTGGATGGATAAAATCTGTGTGAATGTATCTCTCCATTCAGGGCTGAAAAACCTTCTTGGATTTTGGCAGGGAGGATTTTCAGCCCCTGAGTGGAGAGATATTCTCATACAGCCTGAGCCAGGCTTTCCAAGGTCTCCCCCACCCCACTGAGGTATCCTGTGCTACTTACCTGGAATCCCATCCATTTTAACAACCTGCAAGATTGCTGAACCACAACCAAGAGTGCCGAGATTATGGCAGTAATATGATGTTTCACTTAACAACCACTTCGTTCAGTGACCGAGATTCCAATCCCAACAGTGATCATAAGTCAAGGACAAACTGTATAGTTTACATTTGGGAGAGGATGAGGGAAGAAAAAGTTCTTCCTTCAGAGTTGATTCCAGTCAGTGTTGATGTGTGGAAAATCTATGCCTTGATTCTTGTTCTGTGAAGTGCCTCAGGATTTGATTCTCTTTCCACTCCTACTTAATATCTGTATAATGCTATTGGGTAAGGTCATCTGTTGTCAGGGAGTTAAGTATAATTAGAATGCTAAAGATACCCAGGTGTATATTTCAACCCCTGGGCGAAAAAGTGATGCTGTTGAGGTTCTGTCCTAATGTCTGTAAGCTTTGGGAGACTAGATGGAGATGAATAGGTTTGGTTCAACCCAAGGTAGGGCTGGGAGCCTTAAGGCACTCCGGATCAGGAGACTTTCTGTCTTTATTTTGGATGGGATTGCACTTCACCAAGCAGCATAATTTGAGGTCTCCTTGGATTCATGACTCCTGCCTGAAGACAACCTTGGCTCTTCAAAGGGTCTTTCATCAAATCCACTTTGTCGACCAGTTTTGTCTATTTCTTTATTGGGAGGCCTCGTTCACAGTCACTTATGCCTTGGTCACCTCCTGTCTCATTATTTCAATGAACTTTACATGGTGCTGTCCTTGAAGGCCAGTCAGCAGCCAGGCTGGTCCAGAATGTAGTAGTGCAGGTAGTTATTCCTACATAATAAGCTGCATTGTTTTCCACTTGGTTTCCAGGTGCAATTCAAGGTGCTGCTTATCACTTTTAAAGCCATTCCTGGTCAGGCCTGTTTATTTGCAGAACGGCTTGTCTCCAGTTATTTATGCCTGTCTGATAAGTTCTGAAAGGATTGGCATGTTCTTTCATAACTTAAGCCAGTGGCCCCCAACATTTGGGGCACCAGGGACCAGTTCCGTGGAGAGAGGTTTTCCCGTAGACCAGAGGGAGCATGGTTTCACGTGCCGCGCTTGTTTGCGCGGACCAGTTTCTGGCATGCCATGGACCAGTGCCGGTCCACGGATGGGGTTGGGGACCCTTGACTTAAACAATATCATCTTGGGTGATTGAGGATTTCTGCCTTCTCTGTCCTTGCATTTGCCTTATGGAACAGGAATCACCCCAAGATCTAGACGGCCCAGTGCTTGCCTGCCTTTTGCAAGACTTTGAAGATCTGTTTTTTCCACCAGGCATTGGACCAGGAGATCTTGTGACCTTATCTTGCTTGATTCTTTTTATTTTTTCAAGTGCTTCTGACACAGTATGTTTATTATTTTGTATTATATATTATTTTGTAATTGCCATTTGTTGTTTTTCATTGTGTTCATGCCCTGAGTCACATGTTAAGTGGGCAGCTCTATAAATTAAATTCTAATCTCATATAAACATTAATTTCATTTCCTTATTATTTTGTATCATTATTAAGCATTATTTTTGTCTGAATTAGGGATTCCTGCTAATCATGGGAAACTCAATGGGTACTCTGTGAGAGTAGATAATGCAGTGCCATTGGTAACACAGGCCCCAACCTTACTCCAAATAAGAGGAGTCCTCTCTCAGGTATGTCAGTTAGTATTCTACTACAGATTTCGCATTTTCAAAACTGCACATATTACTTGATACTGTTTAATTTTTTAAGTAACATCATGTCCATTTGTTCTGCACATAGAAAATGAAATTAATTTTTTTCACATGCACATTAAAAAAAACTGAAACAGCATCTTACCAGAGACTTTAGAAACTTTCATTCATTTTACTCCCAATAGTGCTACGGTCCAATTTTATATCGTTTTTGTGTTTATAACAGACGTGGTCTAATAGAAGTCAGCAACTATTGTTTCCTACATGGCAACACATAACTCCTGTGGCTCCTGCTACAACACTTGCTTCTGATTCTGTGGCTGGCCCACAGAGGCTTGGAGAATGGGGGTATGTTGAAATCATATGCTTTGCTTTATATAATTGTTGTTTAAAGACACCATCTTTGAATAATGCTTTGTTTTCTCTGTCCTACCAGGAAGATGATTCCTCATGGTAACCATTACAACTCAATGATGACCCAGCCACTCTTAACCAATCAGATAACTTTATCTGCTCCTCAGCCAATCAGTGTGGGCATTGCACACGTAGTTTGGCCTCAACCCACACCTACCAAAAGAAATAAAGCGAGGTTAGTATTGAATATGATTTGTGGTTAGTTTAGATGTTATCATGTTTTCAGAATCCCTTTAAAAAGGGGGCAGTATAATAAAAATAGTATGTGCTCGTCAAGTTGTTGATATACTGTAGCTAAACGCTTGTTTAGAACTTTGGTGACTTTAAAAATTAAATATTATATTACAATACAATTTTCTTCAGAACGTATAGATCAGACATGTCAAACTCGCGACGTCATGTGATGTCGTCCAATGTATCGGGACGGTTTTGCCATTGCTGGTAATGGGGTGGGCGTGGCTTCTGGATGACGCATCCGGCCCGTGGGCCGGCAGTTTGACACCCCTGGTATAGATTAAAACCAAGGGAAGCAACCCAACCTCTTCCCCCACCCCCAAAATGTGTAGAATTTTGTTGCCCTCTGATGTTATCTTTCCTTATGACAGTAGTGGCTTCAATTGTGTTTAGGGCAGAAATATACCTTGGGTTATTTTCTGGTAGCCCTAGTTAGTTGTTCCTAAATTTATGTGCATGAGGATTTATCAATTTTGAACAATTGAAACTAGCATAATAATAATAGTCATAATATGACTTAGAATAGTATTAAGAATAGTCTTTCTTTTGCTGGCAGCAAGAAACACTGTAAGTGCTCTGTGGAGAAAATATACCCCATCACTACAGAAGTTATTTGCAAAGGTATGGGACATTTCAGTAATGGAGAAACCTAAGACCGGGAAGGACAGTTACAGTGGTGAACTGTGTTAAGTAATCCCTGATTCATGTCCACTGAAGTCATTGAATATCGTTCCTGATGATTTCAGTGGATTTTGAATCTGATACAAAAATGTCTATGGTGTCCAAGCCAGCATTTCTTCATTCCTTCTTTCCTTTTTAAAAACAAACCAGTACCTTCAGTGTATTGTTCTGCATTTCATGATAGATTCAACTCCGAACCTTGCATTCCAGCATATGAACAACCCTGCTTGTGATACACAATAGTTATCCAAAAAGTTTTCCATTATTATTCTGGAAAACGACATTTTCCATGATACCCGTATGTTCATTGTTTTATGTTTCATATGTTGATTTATATTCATTGATGTTTTAAAGTTTTATGTTGTAGCTTACCTTAATTTGGCAAAGGTAAATAAAATTAGTACATTTATTCTGCAAAAACATTCTTACAAAGGGTCTAAATAAATGTCTTCTTCACAGGAATAATGCGTTACAAAATACCAATATCCAAAATTCGGCATTTGTATCTCCAAAGATAATTAATATGAAGGCTGATGAAAAACAAAGTTTGGTAGAAACGCAGGACAATCATAATTCAGAGAGGCAGGAAAACAGCTATTGTGTACCATCTGTCAGGCAGGATCCTGACCCATCTGTTTCAAACAAGCAGCGCCAGGCTATCATCATTGCAGATTCCCCAAGTCCAGCAACCAGTGTGATTACCATCAGCAGTGACACAGATGAAGATGATGCGATGCAGAGGCATTCAGTTGCAGAGTAAGTAGGTGCTCCTGTTGCACTCTAACTTGTTTTCCTATAAGTTGTATTGCACTTATAATCTGTGGGTGCTGGTGCTCGTAAGGTGAAGATCGTAAATCTTGCATTAGTAGATGGTTCCACTTTTTTAAAAAATTAGGAGTCAAATGGATTTTTTTCTGAATGTTATATACCAGTGATGGCGAACCTTTTAGAGACCGAGTGCCCAAACTGCAACCCAAAACCCACTTATCGCAAAGTGCCAAGGCTGCATCAGCATTGTGGTGCCCTCAGAGGGGGGGTGGGGGACGTGGCCCACTGGATGGGCATGGCTGCAGTGGTCACGGCAGACTGGGTGAGTGTGGCCGGGGCCAGTCCCTCGCCATCTCCAGGGCATCCCCGGGGGGCGAACGCTGCTTGCTCGCTTACTTCCTGCCCCGTCACTTCCAAACGCCATGTGCTCGCTACTCTAATGAACTCTGCTGGGGTAACGGCGTGTGTGCCCACAGAGAGGGCTCTGAGTGCCGCCTCTGGCACGCGTGCCATAGGTTCGCCACCACTGTTATATACAATAGATCGGTGGTGGCGAACCTATGGCACGGGTGCCAGAGGCAGCACTCAGAGCCCTCTCTGTGGGCATGTGTGCCGTCGCCCCAGTCCTAGGCCTTCAGCTGGGTTTTATAAAACCTTTTCGCTTTAGGCCTCCACCGCCATGTGAAAAAAAAAAGTTTCAATCAGTCAATTTCAACTTCTCATGGGAAAAAAAAGATCTTGCAAAGTTGGAATTGATTGATTGAACTTTTTAGTCCCACCCAGTCTGCCGTTACCACCACAGCCACGCCCACCCAATTGGCCACACCCAGCCAATGGGCCACACCCACCCGGCACTCGACGATGCATAAGTGGGTTTTGGGTTGCAGTTTGGGCACTCGGTCTCTTAAAGGTTCGCCATCACTGCAATAGATCATTTGAATCAGCTTTTGTTACAGCTTTTTGAACTGAAGTTTTCATTCGTAAACTAGAAGGACTCCGTACTGCATATGACAAAGAAAAATGAGCTCATGTCTGTGTGCATGTTCAGTGATAGGCATTGAAAAAAATTCCACGAAGAGCATATACCGGTATGCACAGCATGACATTGCCAAGCATGTATAGCTACAGGTTTACCGAGTGACCCTTCTCCCACAGCTGCAAACATTTGTGGGAGATGAAACCACTAAAAAAGAAGCCTGGGATACTGATGGAGGAAGACAAAAGTAAATCTGACCAAGCACTGGTACAAGGTGAAGTCTCAGTCTTAGGAAATGGTCAGAAAGGAGATGAAGTGTTGCTACTTTTCTTTTCCTCTTGTGTTAGTAGTCTGTCGGCCAGCTTATTAGGGAAGAGATGGTCAATACATCTGCCTGGCTATTGTGACCTATCCATACATTTTGCTGCTGAAGTAACTTAGATTTGCCAACTTAGATTTCCTTTGATTCCTCATGGAAAAAGTCTTTTGTGGTAATTGAGAAAACTATTTGTACTATGTTATCTGGGACTTCTGGTCTGTGAATTCTAATGAGGGTTATAATAATAAGAGCGAGATGCATGAGGACTGAATATTAGTAGGTATGGCATGAGTTATGTCCCTCTTTTTTTTCAGATGCAAAGGAAGTCTTGATTGTGAAGCTTGCCAGAGTACACTAAATATTGACCGTGTGTGTTCATTAAGTAGTCCTGACAGCACTTTGAGCACAAGCTCTTCTGGACAGTCAAGTCCATCCCCTTGTAAAAGACCTAACAGGTAGGAATTGTAAATAATTACACCAGTGAATCACATACAGTACTAACTTTCCAATCCTGGCCTAATGAGGCATGGGCGGCATAGTTCTGTGTCTTTGCAAACATCTTTTGCTGCTATTTTCTCCTTCTTTGGTGTCAACTTAAAACCAAGATGAATTTACACCTAACTTGCTGTTACATATGAACAGGAACTAGAGTTAATACTTTCAAATAAGGCAAGATTTATTTGAAAATGAATAACTGTAATCTCTGGTTTTTATGTAACAGCCTCTGCTTGTTTTCCCACTTCAAAGAAAGATAGATTGAAGTATGTTGTTCATATGTATTGTGCTTTATTTACCCAAAACCTTTCTTGCAACTTTTTGTAGGAACTTTATGTAAGATCTAACGTTCCTGATGTTTAAGAATCAATTCAGCAAAGCTATAACTACGCAAAAAAAACCCCATTGTTTAAAAGCTGGAAGCTAACAAAGTTCTTGTGGCTTTGAATTCAGTAGCTATGATTCAACCTTATTTTCCAAGGCCCCTGAAGGCAGGACAAGAAGCAACGGGTGGAAACTAACCAAGGAGAGAAGCAACCTAGAACTAAGGAGAAACTTCCTGACAGTTAGAACAATTAGCCAGTGGAACAACCTGCCTCCAGAAGCGGTGAATGCTCCAACACTGGAAGTTTATAAGAAGAGACTGGACAGCCATTTGTCCGAAATGGTATAGGGTTTCCTGCCTGAACATGGGGTTGGACTAGATGACCTCCAAGGTCCCTTCCAACTTTACTACTACTACTACTACTACTACTACTATTATTATTATTATTCCATATTCCATATATTATTACAGTATATTTTGAATAGTTCAACAGAGAGGATAAATATGAGCAGTTTGGTTCAGGTGTGAGATTTTTGGAGATCTGATCATTTAAAGACATAAAATTATCATGCTACTCTGACAATTGCCATAACAACTAGGTTACTCTAATTAAAAAAAAGACATCAGTATTACTAAAGCTGAGGCAAATGTTTGACATTTTTTTGTTAAAGAAAAAAGAAAAAATCATAACAATTATTAAGTTAAAGGCCATTACCATATTTTTCAATCCTCTCAGCAGCATTGATGGGCTACAATTTATACGTCACTTTTTTAAAAAAAAATCATCTTTTTTCTCCTCCTAGTAGCAACCAGTTAGATTTGGTTATATGGGAACATCATTTAACGTAAATGAAATTTGCAGTTGCTAGGAAGAAAAGCTATTTTGAACAGTTAATGGCTCTGGTGCTATGGCTGATAAGGACTGAAAAGAAACTGCTACAGCACTGCTTTAAAAATGAGGGATGGCATGCATTTAGGGCAGGGGTGTGAAACTGCTGGCCTGCGGGCCGGATGCCCACCCCATTGCCGGCAATGGAAAAAAAGTCGTGACATGTCACGTGATGTTGCGAGTTTGACACCCCTGATCTAGGGTTTGCTGAAGACTTCCCCAAGCAAAGTCTACCTTTTCTTTGGAAAGTGTGATTGGTAATCCTGCTAAATTAGGCCAGTACTCAGCAAAATTAAATTTCTGAATTTGCTTGGAATTATCCCTTTTCATAAGTGATGACTGAAAACTTTTTTTTTTTTTTTTTGGTACTGACCTACTGTCTTTGGATTTTGAAGATGCTGAAATGTTTCTCAGTAGTTCATACTGCAAAAATTATCTTAAAAATTACATGTGAAAGTTGAGATTGTTAATTTCAGTCTCAGTTCCTTTCTGAAGCTTCAAAATCTATATAAATAAAAATGTAAATGTTCGTTTGTTCAAAATCTTAAATCTCCGAAAGTTCTTCACCGATTGCTTTGAAATTTTGACACAACGTTACATTCGAATACGCGCGTGTCTTTATATACCTATATTATATAGATGTCACACCTGTGACAGGTAAAAACATGCTTTTTTTAAAAAAACAGCACCATCTGTTGGACGTAAAAGCAACACACGCTTTTACCAGACTGAGCCACAGGAACGCGTGGCTGGGTACAGCTAGTATTAAATATAAATGAATTTCTGGTATTCAGTTTAATAGCTTTTGAGTATCTCTCTGGATGTATATTGCTAAAGGTAGAAACCCTATATAACTGATAAGTTCTTAGTGGTGTTTTACTGTATATTATAGCATATCAGATGACGAACAGGAAAGTGGCTGTGATACTGTGGATGGTTCCCCCAGCTCTGACTCTTCAGGCCACGACAGCCCATTTCTAGCAAATCGTTTTTCAGAAGCATCCAATAAAAAAACAGAAACCAGAGCCTCTGCTAACCTGGAAGCCAAACCAACTGTATGCGCTGTGGTTGTGCCACCAATAAGGATACAGAACAGGTTAAACATAGACGGGCCAATGACGAACTCAGGTACTTTTGGGGGAGAGGGTGAGGTTATTTTTCTTGGTCAGTCTGTTTAATACTGATTGCTTCCAAATGTTGGTGAATTAAGATTTGCTTGTGTAGTTGATTGTTCTCNTTCTCATCTTCTTCATTGCACCCAAATCCTCTGAAAGGTATTTCTGGAAAGTTAGGGTTCCTATTTGCATGAAAGTTTTCAGGCAAGGGGTATGTAATCATGTGTAAGTTTATGCCATTAAAAAATGTTAGAAAGTACAGGAAATTTTTTTCTGCAGGGTGGACCTGATCTGCCATATTCACTAATTGCTTCATCATTGACAGTTTTTCTTTGAGAGGTTTTACTGGCACAAAAACAGCAGGAAAGAGAGAAGATTTACAGCCTCGACTTACAAACACACGTATGACTGGAATTTCCATTGTAAGTCGTTGCTGTCTTGAGTCAGATTTTACGACAACTCTTACAGCGAACATTAAGCGAATCACTGCACTAATTAAATGAATCATTTGGTTATTAAAGAAATCCAGGTTCACCAATGGATGTTTTTTGCTGGACAGTAGCAAAAAATAAAAATTGCAAATCACGATCATGTGATCACAGGATGCTGCAACTGGTGCTAAATACAAGTGCCTGAATTGCAACCACATGACTGCAAGGGGTGGTGTGATGGTTGTAAGTGCACATATGGGTCATAAGCCACTTTTTCCAAGGCTGTTGTAACTTTGAACAGTTATTAAATGGTTGAATGGTTGAGGACTACCTGTACAATGTGTGCATGACTTTCCACTCATTCAGATTTTATATAGTAATTAAGCCAATTAATGTGTACATAATCTGTCCTCACCCCACCCCCCCAAATAATAATCAGGATTCATGAGGTCTTCATCCCAAAACCTCCACAGACTTTTTCAGGTAATGTTTAATATCAACAATGAATATAAAGTTGTTGTTTTTTTACTCGAATAACAAACACAAGTTTAGAACTAACCCTGTTTACATTTTCTTAGTCAATACCTGCCAACCGCTGGTAAAACGTCGATCTGCTCGTGTAAAAACCAACCATTCTTCTGGCTTGGGTAATCGTCAGCGAAAATTTATGTCAGCATTCCATCAGCAGCATTCAAACCTTGGTCAAGTATGTGTAAGAATATTATATTGCAAATACAATTTTCTAACTCATTCAGGCTGCTCATTTTAATCTAAAATTGTTTGCCGCTGTTGTAATTATTTCATTGATGTAAATTCTTACAAGTCAAGAGCAACGTCAATACAATGTATTTTCTGTGACTGCTTCTAGTTCTTGAATATTTGCCTTTTACCAGTTATGACATATGCTGCACAAAATTGTATCTATAGGACAAGATATGTTGTGCTCAAGGCTTGAAGACTTCTTAATTTAGCTCTATATGAGCTGCTGTTTCAGTTTAATTAGATGCATCTAATTAACTGCACAGCTGTCTGAATGGAGTTAACTGATTGTAGGAAAGATATTGTGTTTGTGCATGCGCTGGAAAAATATTTTTTTCCTTTCATAACATTAGAAATTGGAATAACCTAATTAAACATACCAGCAATACACTCAAAGTAAATGGGAAAATGCTACTATCCAATGCATTGAATCTGCATTTGGACATATTTGGGAACTTGAAATGGGTATTAAACAAACAAACATTTTTACATCTTCATGTTTATCTATTAGTAAGAAAAGGAAGAAACATACTTCCTTTGAGGCTGCATTAGTAGGACTGAGAGAAAGGATTAATTTCTCTTTTAAAATTAACTACTATTTCTCTTCAACCTCCTTGAACAGGTTCAGCCATTTGGATCTGGGTCTCAGGAGTGGAATGGAAACTGTGGTCATTGGCGGCAGCAGACATTCATCCCAAATAATGTTGCTGGTCATGCATTCTCTCTTCCACATGGAAGTCCCACTCATACTTCAGTTCATGCACAGTTGGCGGGAAATACACATCTTGGAGGACAACCTGCAATTCTACCTTACCCATCATCTGCCTCCCTCAGTACTGCTGCCCCCGTGGCCCACATTTTTGCATCACCATGTACCTCAAGACCAATATTACATCATCCTAATTACAGTATTTCGCATCACGGTGGCATAGTTCATCAGGTCCCAGTGGGCATAAATCCCCGACTACTGCCTTCCCCAAACATTCAACAGACTCGATATAAACCAGTTTTCCCACCACATTCTTACATTGCATCACCTGCTTACACAGGATTTCCACTGAGTCCAACAAAACTCAGCCAATATCCATTTATGTGAGACTCAAATTACAGTATGCTGACAAAGTTCAGATATATATATATATATACATACATAGATATATATGGAGATATGTGATTTGAGAGGAAAACATGGTATTTAATAAATATTAGCCATGGCACAAGAAAATTATTTTTTTTAAATCATGTTAGACTTGGGTGCAATTTAAATAATCTTGAGCTTTAACTCACTTTTAATGTGTGTTTTGCACATTTGGTATAAATTTGTCTTTAGTCATGTTACCTTCTTACAAAATAGCTCCAAACAGGTGACTTAAAGGAGTAAAAATGCAGTTTTGCTCCTACTATTTTTATAAAATTGCCTTCTGATCTAGTGCGAGGCACTTCTACATTTGGGAAGCCATTTGAGTGTACAGGTTTAGAGCAACAGATGCACACGTCATCAGTATCATGTATGAGTAACTTGTTTGTATTATGTATATTGATGTTCTGTGTTGAATCACATACCTAAAAAGGTTGAACTGTTCTCCACATTGCATGTGTCCCTTGCATGGGCAAAAATGCAGTTGCCTAGAAAACTGCTCTTAAATGTTGGTGTCCTGATAATCTCAGCTGCATTGTAAACGGTTCCCACATAGTGCCTTAAATATTCAAGGTTGTTAATGTCACTGCGTTATAAATGTTGAGGACTGCAGCACTTAACATTCAGATTTGTTGATTCTTTGATAGATTAATGCACGCTCACTACTTTCTTTTCTGTTTTGCGTGGTATGATTTTAGTACTGGGTGAGATTTCTTTTTTGGAAGGCAGCATGTGTTGCTGTTAAACGAATTCCGCTGTCTGATAGTTTTCCTTAAAATAAGCTTCAAGAAAAGCATTTTGTAATGTTTAGGAAAAGTTGATTCATTAGCTTGTTGAATTAAAAAATGGTGTTTTATACTGTGGTGGAACTGCAATACAATCTAAAGTAGTTTATTTTCAAAGTGTTTTATATCCAACTGGATTTAATAACCTGTTTAAAGGTATAGTAGGAATTTCCTGGGTAGATAGTGAAAGAAAATAAAAGCAAAATGCTTGTTGATTCATACTGTGGTTTCATCTTAGCTTGAGCAAACCATGCAGTATTTAATAAATAGTAGCAGAATATTTACTGTTGAAGCTTGAAATGATGTGAGTACTTTTGTGCAATTTTTCATTTATGCATGGGAGAGGTTTTAGCTTTTTTACATTATGGTATTTGTTCTATAATTTGGGGAGTATTTTCTTATTTAAATACATTCCATCAGGGACAACAGATGACATGCATTTTCCCTAAGTAGTCAATCTCTGTGTTTATTTTGTTCAAATGAAATTGCTTTTGCAGCACCAAAGACTTAATCATCCATTTTCTATAAAAGGTAGCTACTTTTTTTCATAGACCTCAAATATACTGTAGTGCTATGGTGGATTTAAAAGAAGATACTAAAGTGAGGCTGTGATCTAGCTTGTGAGGCAAATAATAAATTGCATCATTTATCTTGAATGTATCATAGATAAGCTGCTATATAATGATTGCCACTTCAAATAGCTGTGAAATTAGGTGATTTAACTAGTTTTTAGCCTTCTAATTTCTGTATAAGTCTAATGACATGAAATGGAAGTAGAGGGTTGGTTTTGTTTTGTTTCCTTTCATGTTTGGAGTGTTGTAACTACTATATTGTAAATGATGGAAAACAATTTGCATATGTTACTTTAAGTGTGTTATTTGCATCAGTATTTTATCTCTATTAACTATCATTGCATATAAGTGACTGTATTCATGTAATATAATTTTTATGTGTTCATATTGACATTGTGCAGACGCTTAAACTACTTACTTACCTTTTTAAATAAATGTTCCTGGAATACGGTTCTTGCAGCGTAGACTGGAATAGGTGTGGAAAGAGTTTCTTTCAAGCACAATCCTAAGCATGTTTATTTAAAAACAATCCCACTGACTTTAGTGGGGCTTGCTTCTAGGAAAGTGTGCGTAAGATTGAAGCCTGAGTAGTCTAGTGGTTGAAAGAGTTTTTTTTTCTTTGCTCCATTAACACAAGCAGTGTTTTATTTAATGAATGTCTAAGTGAAACAAATGTGCCTGCATCTGAAATATAGCAGTATTAGTTCATTAAAAAAAACACAAGACCAGCAGTACATTGTAATGACCGAACATGGTAATAAATTCTCTCTTTCCCATTATGCTTGAGCTACAAACAGAGAGACACAGCACTGCAGGGCCAGTGGGGCAGTTTTGCCACCTGCCTTGTCGGGCAAAAGCACTTTTGAAAATACTGAAAAGATTAAAAACCAGTTTGTGGAATTGAAAGAATTGCTACTGAAAGAAAAAAATTTCAGTAGGCCCATATTAGTCATGGAGTGTACCCAAAGGAGTATGCTGGATTTCAGCTTCAGTGATTTCTCACAAATAATTGTATGCATTTTGTATAAACACTTCTCTTTCTGTATGTATTTCTCTTAACACAAGAGTAACCGGATCTCTTGGAGAGCTTTGGCATTTTCTGAAACTTATATAGAGGAAATCCAGAAAAATCACCAAGTAGATTTGTCATTTTTCTTAATATTTATGGTTCCGTAAATTCCTGTCTTCTCTTAAGTTCCCAGTTTTGGGAATGGGGTTTCTTGAGTGCTGTTTCCATTGCTGGCATTGGACTCACCGAGACCCACAAAAAACACAAGGCAACTTACTTTTTCCACAACAATTGAAAGGAGGAAAACATTCTCCTTAAAAACTGGATCATCCTTTCTCTGAAGTATTTACTTTGCTTTTCAGTTGCGTTCAGGATATAAAGCTAATAATGTACATGGAACAATATGCCAGGTTAAACACTAACATCAGTATACTCCAGAGGAAGCCTGTGGCTCCTCGTGTACTGTAAAAAAATATTTTTAACTTTTCAGAAATGAAAAATAGGATCTACCACAACCAACACTAAAAATAATGTACAGCCAGCTCTTTATAGAGATTTGTAAAGAAGGATCAGATCGTATGCCTTCTCTCAGGCTGTAATCCATGATTTCACTCCCGAGCAGTCAAGTGGACTCTGGTTGGCTGTTGAATATAGCTTGGCTACTTGGTGGCTATAGCTAATGCTTTTTAAATAAAACACTGCACGATAAATTGTGTACTATTTTTAATTTGGAGAGTAATTTTTATATTAATTCCTTGTATTCAGTTTTTAACTTTAATTCAGGGTGTGTTATTGATCAAATATACTACTGTATTTACTAATTATTTTGCTTTATTTTTTAAAAAAATACTCTGTACGTAACTGCTAAATTTAACTTGATTTTTCTTAAAGCTAAAATTCACATTGCAAAACATAGATTTGTTTTAGGACTGAGTATATAGGTTTGGTTGTTAAGTTTGAACTATTATCGCTTAATAATGATTTGGAGACTTGTGGCTTTTTTGTTCCTGATTTCTGTGCTACACTAGTTTGTCATGTAGCAATTGCACTGTGCAATATTACAATAAGAGGACTGGGAAAATTTTTATGGATATAATGTTTCCTACAGTTTGCGATAGTATTTCTCTCTAGTTCTCAGCGATTTAAATGTGACCAAGCCTTCTGTACTTTGTCACAAAAAGCGGGTTTTCCAGGTGACTATTTTGGTGAGTGTCAAAATAAGAATTTATGGTGTAATACTGTCAAGATTCACTTTGAATTAAAATATATATTGCAGCAATTGCTCTTGTTGGCTTTTATTTATATATATACATATATATATATGTGTGTGTGTGTGTGTTAAAAAAATCTACATTTGTCAGTGTATATCCAACTCATAAAGACCTAGGCTCCTATGTTTAGAAGGGGAAGATCAAATCTTCAACATTATTTCTTTGTTTATCAAATTTAAGTACCACTCATCTCCTTCTCAATATTTGGATTATGTGCTGATAGGAAAAGTTGCGAAGTGGCGGGAAATTATTTGTGTTGACATTTTAAATCAGAGTGATAGAGGAAAACAAATGTAAGAATATTTAATGAACATAAAGTCATTAAATTTTATGGGAAAATGTACATGCCATTCCTATGTATAAAACTTTGTTCTAAAAACATGAGAATTCCACATAAAAGTAACTGTTATTAAATAATGAGAGAGCTGAAGCCATTAATTTAAGAGAGGAAGACAAGGGGAAGGAAAAGAAATGCATGTGATATTTTTGTGATGAATGTTGCACCATTATATGCACTTAACTTGAGATAGTAGAAAACCTGCCTTGTATGCACAATGCCCAGAGTTTTTCAGGCTATGACTGTAATCTGTTTCTAGCATAACACTTGGAGACAAGAGAAATAGGCAGAAATTTTTTAAAAAGTATAGCTAGTTTAGGAGTATCCAACTTCAAAATTATGGATATAGCTGAGGAAACAAACCTTATAGGTGAAACAATATTCTAAATAAAGACTGAGAAGTTTTGAAATGTTTCTTATAAACCCTTGTGCATTTTCATGCAGTGGTGAATTAGCTATCCTATTTGTTCATAGTTTTCCTTCTATTGTACTCTATAAGAAAAACAATTTCCTCTTGATTCTGGATATATTTTGCTGCATAGATGTTAGGCTCTGATTTATGATTGCCATTGAGTTTCCTGTAAATTGTACAAGTGAAAAACAGTGTATTGATAGACAGGACTGTATTATGTATTAGTGTTAGCACTTTGCCCTTGACACTTTGTTCTATGCTGTCAACTACACACAGAATTAATTTCTGGTACAAACTCAGTGTGTTTAATTTATAACAGAGTAACACAGACACATGTTGCAGACTTAAAACTTTCTGCTATAAATGCCTAGAACGGGTTCCCAACCCTCGGGCTGTGGCCCACTACCGGGCCACGGCTTATTTGCAACCGGGCTGCATGAGCGGCAGGCCGGCGTGCGTGCAAATGTGCACGCAGCTCAACTTGTGCAAAATGAACTGTGTGCATGGGCACCGGCCCACCACTCCTGCAAGTTGAGCGTGTTTGTGCGCCAGCCCGCCATTCACACGGCCTGGTTCCCATCTCCCCTTCCCCGCTGGGCTGCCAGGCTACAAAGATTGGGGATTGCTGGCCTTGAAAACACAAGAGCTTACTTTTCCTGACAGACAAATCACAGGTTCAGGAAGAATTCAAGAGCAGTCAGTATCCATTTTACAGTCCAGCCAGGTAATCCAACACAGCAACACAATTTTAGGGGGGGAGCAGTGAAGTTTTATTTGCCCCAAAGAGCTGTTCAGACAAATATTTTTTTTATTATAGTTCTCCCTGCTAAGGGACCTCCAAGGTCCCTTCCAACTACTACTACTATTATTATTATTATTATTATTATTATTATTATTATTATTATTATTATTATTATTATTACTATTACTATTACTATTATTACTATCATTATTATTATTATTATTATTATTATTATTATTATTATTATTATTATTATTATTATTATGGATCATCGCACAGTCAGCCAGATGTTCAGACTGGATTTGGCATTTTGTCTACCTATTGAGTCCTTACCAAGGACCTGGAATAGGCAGATGTGGTATTACAGATATTATTATTATTATTATTATTATTATTATTATTATTATTATTATTATTATTATTATTATTATTATTATAACTTTCAAGTTGGTGGGTTGATTTTCTTGCTCTATCCTTTGTAATTTGTGATTTGTTGCAGGGCTCAGGATCTTACCTAATTCGGTTTCTGGATCAGCTAACCAAACTGGCACCATATATCCTCAAGTGTCTCTTTCACTGGGTCATACTGATACTTAGCCTGGTCAAACACTTCAGCTTCTGAATCTGAAAACTCAGTCCGATCCTTAAGTTATCTTCAGGTTTCATCTACTTCTTGATGTTATGCTGTTTTGTGTACATATGGCATAGAAAGAAATAATCAAGAATAAAATTCTTTTATATTTAATTACACAATCCCATCAATGTTTTACATATATAAAACTATTAATTTCATTGCCAGATTGCCCAAAATGTTTTTTCATATGAATGTTGTTATATTTATTTTTGCAGAAATAAAACCCTATAGCAAATTTGTACATAACGGTAGTATTTCAAAGAACAAATAATGTTAATAGTGGGGGATAAATACAGTTA